GACGCAGAGTAAGGCTTGGGCAGAGGCGAAAAAACCACCGCGGCTTGGATGGCCACTAAGCTGGTTTCTCAGGCAGAGGCTAGGGCGTCACAAAGCAAGGGCTGTATCGGCGCCTGCGGCCATGTCCGGATTGTAATTGACTTCCACGTCACAGTGGAAATTGGAGTAGTAGTACACGCACAAAGTAGCAGCGGCAAATTGATGTTTCGCCTCGGGACTTGATTCCCTCATGAGTGTCAGCGACTATGGGCCGGCTTAACACGCGAGAGGGTCCACCGGGCAAGGCGGCGGCTCGAAGAACCACACCGGGACTAGCAGCCCATGTGAATGATCGTTTCTTGATGCTGAAAAAGTGAACCTGTCTTGATGCTGTAGGTGAGGCCACGGGGAGGCCACCGTGGCAGGGGAGTCCGGGTCTGATCTGATTCTTTTTTGTAAAGAACTTTGATTCCAAAGCGGGTACTACGAGTCTCCTCGGTTGTTTGTCTGATTCGGTGACCCGAGCTGGACGCATTGGAGACCTTAACCGTCCTGGTTTCGGCGAGTTATATGTCCAGACTTGATACGCCGGCAAAAGAGACAGCAGCGGAAAAACAACGTTTTTCGGCGACTTTGTGGCTTGATTGCTCGCTCAGACAAACAGCGCTTGACTTATCTTGAACTCAAATATTTTATTGCCGGATCCAAAGTTGTCCAACGAGTTTAATTAACCCGGCTGTCGCTCTGCCCCAGATTTCTCCAATCTTCGAGCTATCGACCATGTCGGATCTTCTTTATTTAACCAAAAAGCGAGCCTCTCGATCCTTGAAGAATTTCCTCCAAAACTCAACACCACCGTGCGCATGCCCCACGGTGGGTGTCAACTGTCGTGAAATTAACACGTCAAACGTCCTTAGTGTGAGGACTTAGTCGCGAGGCCAACGCATCTATGTGGTAGCTTGAGAGGGATTGAGCGGAATCGAGAGACGCAACACAAGACAAGAGTTTAGACAGCTTCGGGCCTCGGGAAACATCATCCGGTAAAAACCCTACATGTTGTTTGAGACTAGATCTCATTATCATCACGAGGGAGTCGCCGTAAACCGGCTCTCCTCTAGTTGTGTCTAGCCCTAGAGATTATTGTTTTCTTCTTCCCCTTTGAGGAGCCCTGCCCCTCCTTATATATGTTGAAGGGGCGGGTTACATGTGGAGTCCAATTCGGACTTTAACTTAAACTATTTTGACTTCCCTTCCTGGGCTTCTTAACGTCTGCCGGTTTAATATTGTCTGCCGGTTTAACAATGTCTGCCGGTGCTACCATCTGTCTTAACCTGCCGGTTTAACACTTTCCGGTTTACCGTTTGTCTTAGCCATCTGTCTTAACTCTGCCGGTTTAACACTTTCCGGTTTACCGTTTGTCTTAGCCATCTGTCTTAACTCTGCCGGTTTAACACCCACCGGTTTACCAAGTCCCGACCGGGTTACGACTCCGGCCGGGTCATACCGCGGGGTATATCCCCGACAGAACTCATCTACTTCCTCGACATTTTACTGGATCAAGAGTTCGAGGGACGTCATCGAGCTGAACGTGTGCAGAACTCGGAGGTGTCGTACGTTCGGTACTTGATCGGTCGGAACAAGAAGAAGTTCGACTACATCAACCGCGTTGTCAAATGCTTCCGCTTTCGGCTTACGAGGGTACGTAGACACTCTCCCCCTCTCTTTGCTATGCATCTCCTAAATAGATCTTGCGTGAGCATATGAATTTTTTTAAAATTGCATGCTATGTTTCTCAACACCCTCACCTTTCGTATCTTTGTAGAGCGGTCGATTAAGCAGGCAGCTGTTGACATCGAACTCTATCACCGCTCGATCCCCTCACGCTGGATTCCCTCGTGAGCGGCACGCGTAGGCTGGATCCCACCGCAGGTAGTCCACTTCGCGTGAATCGAGCGCCCGCATCCGTTCCCTTTCGACCGCATGGCGCATCCTCTTGGCCGCCTCCAATTCATTCCTGTGTTGAGCGATCACATCCTCATGTTGGGCCGACCCTTTTCACATTTTTTTTATTTTCTAATCTGAAGTGCAAAAAGTGCTTCTAGCTGGGACTCGAACTTCCAGCGCAAGTGACGATGGGATAACCCCCCGACCAAATCACTTAGTGTGATTACATATATGCTTTTCCGTTATTTCATCTTTCTTCCCTTTCTATTCTTTTCTTTTCCTTTTTTATTTGTTTTCTCTATCCTTTTTTCTTTCTTTTCTCAAATTCATAAAGTTTTTCTTCAAATAGATGAACTTGTTCAAAATTTATGAACTTATATTCAACTTTATGAACCTTTTTTCCAATTCGATGAACATTCCTTTTAAATCGATGAACCTTTTTCAAATTTGATGAACTCTTTCAAATTCAATGAACCTTTTTTTCAAATTCTACGAACATTTTCCCAAAGTTCATGAACTTTATTTCAAATTTGATGATTTTTTTTTGCTTTTTGTGAACTTTTTCCAAAATCGATAAACATTTTTTTCAAAACTCGTGATCTTTTTTCAAAGTCATTGAACTTTTTTCAATTCTGTGAACTATTTTAAAAATTGATGAGCTGTTTTCGAAACCTCTCCAAATCAATGAACCTTTTTTGAATTTTGATGATTTTTTTTTCAAATTTGTGATTTTTTTTCTCAAGATTTGTGAATGATTTTTTAAATGGATAAACTTTTTCAAAATGGATAGAATTTTTTCTCAGAATCATGAACATTTTTTTCAAAATCAATGAACTTTTTCAAAATTCGGTTAATCTTTTTCAAAACCAATGAACTTTTTTGTAATTCATGAATTTTTTCCAAAATGTTTTCAAATAATTTATAATCAAAGCACTACAGTAGACATGTATATGTGTAATAAATTGCGCGGCTACAAATGTACTTAAAACATTCGCCCTGGAATTGGTCAGCAGCATGTCGTAGGTCACGTGTTAGCCATACTCATTCACCGTTATCACCGCACGAGTTTGATCCTGAAGGAGAACCATTTTTGGGTTGTTTTTTCGCTTTTTGCGCTACCTATAAACTAGTTGCAATGATTGAATTTTTGTTGGGCCGCCCAGTCACATCGCCTTCGAGCGCCAGTACGAGGAACAGGCGTTGAGAGCGCCGGTTAGGAGCGCCCACTGATTCGTTCCTGTGTCAAACGGGAGCGAATGTATGAGAGGGATTTTGCTGCCTTGGGCTGAGCAGAAAAACTAGCCCAATTAACTACATGAGTCCAAAATAGCTAAGGGGGAGTAGATGCCCTTGCAACGTTAGGCCCAATTCATGGCTAGCTTAGCGCTAACTTTAGATTGGATGGTTAGAAATGTTTGACAAATGAAATCAAACGGATAAAAATGCCTACTTCAGGATAGCAGCAGGGGTTAGGCTCAACGGAGATCAAACGACCATGATTAGTTAGAGCATAAAAACGGACGTCTCAGAATGCTAGTAGCCTGAGAGGGTTGGGAGGGTGCTCAGTTCTAATGTCTCTAAATAAATAAGGTAGGGGACCCCTTTTGATCAAAAAAGAAACAATAAATTATTTAAAATAAAACAAAACATGCCCACACACAACATGTCAAGCACACACCTATTGTTTAAGTTCTTTCATCCTCCAGCACGAGCATTCTCATCCATTATATCTCCTTTGTCATCTCTAGCATAACAAGCTTGTATATAAGCTACCAATCCATCATTTTTGTTGGTCCTGTATTAGGCGTGTTGCAGCCACATAAAAGGGTTTCGTCATTTAATGTGCACTGTTAAGTGATCGTTGTCGACTCTCCTCCCATGGATCACACACTCGTCATAGCATAGCAACATAACTTCGGTTTGTCATTATCAGGTCACCGGTATTCTGGTGGGTGTTTTGTTTGATGGCGGTCAGAGTCATGGAAGACGCGACCTCCGCACCATCGGGCGGCACCATCCGAATGTTGTCATATCACATATCGGGACCATGATTGTTGGTGTTTTTACTCTAGATTGGTCCACTTACTACCATCGTATTCCAGATTTATTGTAATGCTATTTCTTGTATTCTACTTTTAAATTTTTATAATGAGCCAATAATGTAATTTTAGCACTATTTACCGGGATCAATTAACTCAGGATTATATCCCATATCGAGCTAATGTCTTCAAGAACACTACCCTCAAACAACCCATCATGTTTATCACGGACGACCCTTGTCCCGTGACACGGTTGCTCGATCTAGCCACCCCTGTCTCATGACAATTAAGATTTTCTCCATAGTAAAACACGGGCATTGTGCTAGTAAACTAGAATGCCCCAAAACGGGAAGGGGAAAAAGTTGGCATCTAAAAAAATCCCTTAGTAATATAAAGTTCTCCCCAACATTAAAGGATATACCTTTTTTTTGTGGAGGGATATCATCTACATTTAGACCAGATTGCTCATTTTTTTAGTACAATTTTTTTAAAATCCAACGTCGATTTTTAGCGCTAAAATTTTTGATGATCAGATTTGCCATGTGAAAACAAATAAAATTGCCATGATTCAATATAAGGATTTTCCATGTTCTAAGGTCAAAATTGCCATGTGCTATAAAAATCAACAGAAAACTTACCATACTGCAGCAATTAATTGCCATGCGTTTGATCAGAATCCGGCGTAGTTGAGGGCGTCAGTTTTTTAACCCCAAAATCTGACGTCAAATAATCCTTTTTAGTAATATGTAATTCCCATTGATATTTGCATTCACTCCCGCGCAAACAAAATTGGTAAAATTTGAAAAGGGCCTGTCCCAAAAACATGATATTTGAAAAGAACCCATGCAACTAAAAAAAGAACCCATGTAATGCAAATCAAAAAAAGAAAAAAAAACCCCATGTACAGACTACAGAAAGACGAATCGCGTCATATTCCCATGAGCCGAGAGCCCGAGTGGGAGAGGCAGGGCAGTCGCCGCGAAGGCGACACAACCGCTTCGGACAGTCGCCTCCAGCCCAAAGCCCCAGACCCCCGCGATGCCCTCCCTCCTCTCCCCCTTCGCCGCCGGCGACTGCTCCGCCGATAAGTTCGACCCCGACTACCTCTACTTCCTCCGCCACCTTCGCACCGAAGGCAGCTCCTATGTCCTCGAGCTCCCGCCCGGCGGCGCCTCCCCTGCCCCCGTCATCAGGTACGAGTCCCCCATCGCCATCTCTGACGGCGAATGCGTCTCGGACCCCTCCCCGGGCGGCGCAAGCGCCAACCGCCGGTCGGAAGAGAGGGACTCGTCGGTGGAGACGCCCCCCTCGTGGATCGACTCCATCGTCGACATCGACGAGGATTACCGCCTTTTCCTGCACCACACGTGCGTGGTGAATAACCGCCTGAAGCTCCAGATGGGGGGCGTCGTTGTGGACTACGAGCCGGACCCGGACGCCGCGCAATCTGGAGGCAGCAGCGGGATCGAGGAGCAATCGGAGAAAGAGGCGGCCGTTGCTTCCTCGGGGGTAGAGGAGCAGGCAGTCGACTCAGATGTGCCGGTTGTAATCATGCCGGAGCCGAACGCCTACGACTGGCGTGCGGATCCAGCCCCTCGTCAAAGGATGCAGGGTCAGGAAGATATTGGGCACAAGGATGCTCAGCCTCGCGTTGCTTCGGTGAGAATTTCCTGTAATCTCGAATACCTATTGTCGTTACGTTTCCACTGTTGGATTGTAGAACCGATCAGTGTGTTACTGCTGGATAATGAAACTGATCAATGTGTTACTGTCGGATGCTAAATTGATCAATGTGTAAAGAATCTCATCTTGTTCGCCTGTTCTTGAACTGATTAGTGTGTAATAAAATGGTCAGTGCCAGTACCATAGATAGGTCAACTATCAATTGACATTTTTGAAATCATATGAGTAATTATGTAGCATGTGCCTTGTTTCCATATTCCAAATACGAATATTAAGTGATCCTGCAATATATGTTTTAGAAAATATTTTTGGATGTCAGTAGTTCTGAAGAAATGGACCCAACCTTTTTTTCCCAAACACTGAAACAAGTAGAAACATTAACGTCTTTAGAACATCAACATCACACCATCCTGATTGAGCATTTGTGATCAAACATAGCTCCCCTACTTTGCCATTTTTGTTTATTCTTCATTGTCAGTCACTTGATATAACGCAATAGTCATTCACTCTATCTACCTGTACAACAGTCTAGGAGTGTGATAATCTAAGTTTTTTCTTGAAAAATGTTAAGCTAATCTACATTTTGAAATTGAGACATTCTTAATTGGTACCCCCTCCGTCCGAAAAAGCTTGTCCCAAGCTTGTTCCTCAAATGAATGTATCTAGCACTAACTTGGTGCTAGATACATTTATTTGAGGGACAAGCTTTTTCAGACGGAGGGAGTATTGAGCACCATCTATGAACTTCATAATAATATTAGAAAGCTTCAACCAAAATTCGTAAGCTGTACATCACTACATGTATGTAGTGGCTGTCTTTTTTCTTTCTGTATGTTAACTACCATGTGTGATTTACTTCTCCTTTCGCCTCCTACAAATTTGTAGTCACATAGATCAGATGTTATATGGCCTCCACATATCAACCGTAGGCCAGATTCAGACTTCAAGCGAAGATTGATGGATGCTCTTCAGAAGCCATTTAGCCGGAAAGAGTATATTAAGCTGTTTGACATGGCTTCTATTCGTACTCCTTTAGTGAAGTTGCGACAGGTGCGCAATGATGCAAAATTCTACCCTACCGAGGAGATGGGCAATTCATATTTTGATCATTACCCAGGTATGCTATCATGTGTATACACTGACAAGTACTGTATCTTTTGTGTCACCTGTTTTATAGGACTGCCTTTTGCAATCTTTCCCTTCAGAAATTTGTTTCTTATTGTTATCATAATAAATCAACCGGGTAAAGTAAATTCTGCTGAACTGTACTTTTTACCCCTCATGGACATTTCTGTATTGAGCTTGACGACACAGTGCTGTGTTGTTTTAACAATCCCCGATATCATGAATTATCCTGTAGTGCTGAAATTGCAGTGCAGTATAGGCTATGCATCGTTGTAAATGTTTGTATTAGTATGTTGTGGACTACTCTATACTTTTGATGGGCAGCTCAACTAGCAATCAAACATTTGAACATAATTTGTTCTTGATTCTAATACTGTTGATGTGTCATAGTCAAGTACTCATTCTCTAGATTCTATTACTGCACAATTGTAATTTCATTTTGCTTGAAAAGCTTTCGTTCCCTCTGACAAGTCACTAAGCGGTCCTTGGTATTGCAGTGAACTTGAGTATAAACTACTCCCTCCGTCCCATAATATAAGAACGTTTTTGACACTAGTGTAGTGTCAAAAACGTTCTTATATTATGGGATGGAGGGAGTAGTAGCCAAGCACATTGATATTTTTCCCCTTCGAGAATATTAGAAATATTGATGCTGGGGCTTGTTAATGTAAACTACTTTGTAACAGTTTGATAAAGGATGTTGTTTTTGTTTTAACAGTTATGAGTTGTTGTGGTTATAGTGCTAACACTCTTCGTTTATTTAACTTCAGATCTTGTTGAACAAGTTACAAACACTAGCTTTTCGAAGGGTTTAGCTCTGATGCGTGGATTTTTCTTCTGGTTGCAGGTATTCTTTAATACTAATTTACCTCTGATGATAATATGTTTGCACTAATTGTGGTCATGTCTGCAATGTTCACATTTCCATCTAAATCCAAAGGCCCAACCCTAAAATCTTCTAGGTCACCTGCAATGAACTAAGGTTAGCTTAATCTTAGTTCAAAACTGCGACACTTATTTTGGATCCAAAATAAGTGTCACATTGTTGAACTAAGGTTAGTTTAATTTTAGTTCAAAACTGCGACACTTATTTTGGATCGGAGGGAGTAGTACTTTTTATATACTCAAATAAGTTTGCTACAGCTGGAGCACATGTATTCTTTTGGTAGAATTAAAAGGAGATGTGTCATGGATAGACCATTAGTTTGCCATGCAGCTCAAATATTGCCATTTCAAGATCAGGTTAGGGGGGCTTGATACCAACAACAACAACAAAAACAACAAAGCCTTTAGTCCCAAACAAGTTGGGGTAGGCTAGAGGTGAAACCCATAAGATCCCGCGACCAACTCATGGCTCTGGCACATGGATAGCACGCTTCCACGCACCCCTGTCCATAGCTTGTTCTTTGGTGATACTCCAATCCTTCAGGTCTCTCTTAACGGACTCCTCCTATGTCAATTTCGGTCTAACCCAACCTCTCTTGACGTTCTTCGCATGCTTTAGCCGTCCGCTATGCACTAGAGCTTCTGGAGGCCTGCGCTGAATATGCCCAAACCATCTTAGACGATGTTGGACAAGCTTCTCTTCAATTGGTGCTACCCCAGCTATCATAACGAAATCTGTAGTTTTCAGCATTAGTGTATACGCTATCTTAATCGCATGCTTCTTCTATACTACTCCATATTTGCTCTCCCATACGTACCTTGGTAGCATGAAGATTTGCGAACTGTGAAGTTTACACATTTTTTTTATTTGCAGAATAGTGCACACGAGGATCAATTCAGGCCATGGATAGATGATCTGAAAGATCAAGATGTTATTCCATTGATGGACTTAGATTACCCATTGCCTTAGTTCACTCATCTTATCTTTTGTGGAGATAATTCTTAAAGGGCGAAATCATTCTCAGTAGAGAATATTTGATTATTATCATTTTATAAATGGAGTGTGCGAATAAGTACTGGGGCAGTCTGCTTGTGTGGCTCTTTCTCTTGGGAGAACAAATGTATATATTGCTCAACTGTTGAAAGGAGAAATCGTTCCCTGTGAAATTGCATACATTCTACTCCCTCCGTTCCAAAATAGATGACTCAACTTTGTACTAATTTTGTACTAAAGTTAGTACAAAATTGAGTCATCTATTTTGGAACGGAGGGAGTAGGTTACAACTGGGATCTAGCATTCTAGCTGCTATTAATCAGTTGATGCATTTCTCATGTTGAAATCGAGGGTATTGAATCTCACATTCAACTTTATGTCCACAGCACAATGCATCACATGATGTAGCGTTAATGACCTAATTAAACTTGATTATGTACTCTGAAAATGGATTTGGTCTAGTCGTGCTGCACCCTTGCAATTTCACTTTCATCTTTGGTTTCATCAGGGCACAGCTCTGTTCAGCATTTCTTTTCTTTCTTTGAATGAATACCATCATGGCCACTTTTTTGCACTGGAAAGTAGTTACATCGTTTACAATGGCATTCACTAAAAATTCAGGGGGTTCACCAACCCAGCTACTGGAGACATCATTCTCAACAGCAATGTAGAAATTCCACTCTTCCAATCATTCCAGCCATTATAAAACATTTAGCATATATTGTGGAAGCTTCATTCCAAATTCTGTCCTGACCTGCACATGCATTCACCACTTCAATTGTGTTTGCCAGGAGAAGGCCCTGATGTACTGCCATAGCTTCAGCGGTGTGGGTATCATTGACGTGCTGAATGTAGAGCATGCAGCCGCTAACAAAACGCCATGTTTGTCTCTAATCACACCCGTGGAGCCTTTCCCCTCTTCATTGTGATATGAAGCATCTACAGTTACTTTAATGAATTCTTTATCTGGTTTCTTCCATTTCTTGCTGTGGTGCTAGAGAATTTGATTACCAAAGCAGAAGTAAAAACTGATAAAAATTGTTGAGAAAAGTATATTTTTTGTCCCTCAACTCTTGGCGAAGTCTAAATTTAGTTCCTCAAATTTAAAACCAGACAACTTGCATCCTCAACTTTTGAAACCGGACAAGTTTAATCCCTGGTCTCGGTTAACCCGGTATCGCTGCTTACTCAGCGCAGTTTTGACCAGTCTTTGTCCACATGGCGGTATTTCTCTCTCCCACCTTTCTCCTTCTTCCATTGGATTACTGAGACATTTTATGAAGCACCTAGCATGCATTGTGTGTGCCGTCTACAGCTGGACCGTGTTGGCTGTTCCCGTGGCTTGGGCACGTGCGACACCCGGCGGATGGCTGCTGGCTGACGCCTTGTGCGCCGGCTTGCTGCTTCGCCTAGGCCAAAAGGAAGCCGCAACTCGGGACAGTGCAAGTCAGCATCAGCATCTCCATCGCGCTCTCCCCCATGTCGCTCGCAGCTCGGCGTCATCTCGGCTGTTGCGCGCGCTGCGGTCCTCGCCGACCGAGCGCTCACCGCAGCAACCGGGCGCTCACCGCAGCAACCGGGCGACATGGCATTCACACGCACGCCGGCGCGCCAGCTTGTCCACCACCAGCTGCACCACGCCCATCACCGTCACCTTCGAGAGGCTGTACAGGAGCGCCGCCACCCCGCCCAGCACGCTCGTGGTGCTACCTCGTCCCGTTGGTTTTTATCACTAGTGTTTAGGACGTTGTACTAGATCGTACATGGTGCACATGGGCGACGCTGCCTCGTTCATTTTCTTTTTGGCTGTGTAGATGGTATACGTGTGCTCCGTGGTCGCTGTACGGGAGCGCCGCCACCCCGCCCAACATGCTCGTGGTGCTGAGCACCAGATGAAGATGCCCGATGCGCTCTTGAGCTTCTCCTCGTGCCCAAGCCGTAGACTGGGCTCCCTCGCCCGCGCACCCCACAGATCACGTGCTCCCAGACAATGGAGAAGAGGAGATCGAGGACAAGCATGGGGTAGCGCCACCGATCGTGTGGCTTGCCTTCATCCTCCGCGGCCACCATGGTGACGATGCCTGCTTTCCTTCATTCTCGTCATGAAGCGGGAGAGGCCGTGGGCCGTGGTGTCTGGCGAGGTAGAACGGGACTGTGATGTCCGACGAGGTGCAGCAAGCTCGAGGTGGCTGGCGAGGTAATGCAGAGGCATCGTGGCTGGCTAGAGGGACTTGTGTGGGTTTGCCGTGGACGGCACACACAGTGCATGCAATGTGGATGAAATGCCTCAATCAGCCAATGTGAGAAGAAAGAAGGTAGAAGAGAGAAATACTGCCATGTGGACGAAGACCAGTCAAAACCATGCTGAGTCAGCAGTGATAGCGCGTCAGCCGAGACAAGGGACTAAACTTGTCCGGTTTTAAGAACTGCGGGTGCAAGTTGTCCGGTTTTAAAATTGAGGAACTAAATCTAGACTTCGTCAAGAATTGAGGGACGAAAAGTATATTTTTTTTAAAATTGTCTGTCTATGCAGTTACGAGCTAGAGTTTAGTCCAAACTTCTTTTTAGGAGGAACTTTTCATCATTAGACTGAAAAAAGGGCTTATGTAGAGCGATGCCAGATTTTTTGAAGGGAACTCATAGAAACTCTATATGGCAAACCAAAAACCGGTCAAAAGCTAGCCAATGCCCTCGTTGGCTTGGCCTGGGCACGGCCATAAGCCAGGCACACTGCTTAAAGCGAATGCCGGGCACTTGAAAGGTGCCATAAAAATTGCGGCGATCTTTAGATCTCCCGCCATGGTTTCTGATGGCGTCCTGTGGGCTGGCGCGGATTGTGCAAAAGGAGGCCAATGCCTGGTCGCCTGGTCGGACGTGTGCACACCGGTTCAGCATGGAGGGCTTGGGTTGCACGTACAACCTCAATTCTCCCAACGGCGTGCTGCGATCCAAATGGCTATGGCAGGCAAAACCTTGTGATGCTCTCCCTGGTCGGCCCTGGAGCTTTCTGTTTCAGTGGACGCAACTTCCATCTTCAGGGCATCTTCCCGGGCCGTGATCAGGGATGGTGCTCCGGTGCTATTTTGGCAGGACCACTGGATTGGCGGAGACCCTGAATAAACCCATGTTGCGGTGGAGGTCAAGTTTGGCCGGTGTCGGCATTGTTGATCTTTCTGGTTTCTTTTCATTGTCGGGGTTTTTGCATGCTTGTCCCTCAATCAAACATGCTGTTGTATGCTTCTTCGGCCCTAATTTTCTACTATAATCAAGCCAACTACATTCTTCTTCAGGAGTACCCTGCCCTCTTGGTGAGGTTCTGTCAAAAAAAGTACAACATGAGGTCTAGAGTGCTCAATTTCAGCATGGGCAAACCCTCCGTCAAATTCAAAAGCAGCCA